AGATGCATAACCTGAATCTAATCATGAGGAAATCCCAGACAAGCTGACACTGAGGGACATTTTACAAATATATTCTTCAAGAGTGGCAGGGTCATGGAAGTCAAGAAAAGGCTGAGGAACTATTCCAGACTGAAATAGATTAAGGAGACTTGACAACTATTTGCAACATGTGATTATGGTTTCTGAACGGAACATAACATTATGGGGACTTTTTGATGAAACATTAGTAGAAATAGGGATTGAGTGGTTCTAATGCATCATTTAGTTTCCTGATTTTGAAATTTGTATTATGGTTATGGGAGAATTGCATTGCTTTTAGGAAACACATACCAAAATATTTCAGTTTTGGAACTTTAGGTCAGCAATTTTACTCAAATGTTCAAAATAAATAAAATTCTTTGTACATAGTTCAAACTTTTCTATACCCTTAGGGTTATTAAGAGTAAGTATATAAAAATATACATATGAAACCAGCAATGGGCTCATATCTAAGCTAAACAAACCCTTCACAAAAGAAGAATTGGCATTGCCAATGGACATCTGAGAAAGTGCTCAGCAACATGAAGCTTCATGGAAATGTGAATTAAAACTACAATGAGTTATTAACATACATGTCAGAATGGCTAAAATGAAAATAAGCTGAATATATTTAGTATTGCCAAGAAAGTAGAGCTACTGGCAATCTTATTGTAACATTTTTCAACCATTTGAATAATTCTTTGGCAGCATTTACTAAAAAAGAACACCTGCATTACCAGCAATTATACTTGTAGATTATACTGAACAGAAATCCAATACATTGGGATACAAAAAAGCCACCTATAGGAGTGTTAGAAACAGCACTATTCATAATAGCCTCAGACTAGAATCAACCCATGTGTCCATTGCAATGCAATGGAAAAAAAACTGGAATAGTTATAAAATAAGACACTGTAATAAAGCCTACCAAGTGCTATCTACAAATCAAGTGAAGAAGCTCAATACTAAAAAATAATGTATGATTTCATTCATATGAAGCTCACAAACTAACATTTTGCCTTATATAAAGGCAAAAACTAACCTTTGATGTGATATTGGACACATTTAGAGAAGGGGAAGGTACTGAATAGGAGGAGGCATAAAGGGGCTTCTGGGGTCCTGGCAAAATTAATTTTCTTGGCCTGTGTGTTGGTTTCACTGTGTATGTTCAGATGATAATTCACTGAGCTGAACTTTTAGAACTTTATATTCTGCTTCAATGAAAGGTTTATTTAAAAAGAAATAATTTTTTCCTTTTTTTAATTTAATGTTTATTTTAGAGAGAGTGCATGAGCGTGAGTAGGGGACGGGCAGAGAGAGAGAGGGAAAATAGAGGATCCAAAGCCGGTTCTGCACTGTGATGTGGGGCTCGAACTCAGGGACTGTAAGATTATGACCTGAGCCAAAGTCAGAGGCTTAACTGACTGAGCCACCCAGGAGCCCTTAAAAAGAAAAACTTTTTTTTAAAGTTTTGTTTTTAATGTTTTGTTTTATTTTTGAGAGAGAGACAGAGACAGAGTGTGAGCAGGGGAGGGGCGGAGAGAGAGACACAGAACTTGAAGCAGGCTCCAGGCTCTGCGCTGTCAGCACAGTGCACAACATGGGGCTCAAACCCACCAATTGTGAGACCATGACCTGAACTAAAGTTGGACGTTCAACCAACTGAGCCACCCAGGCATCCCAAGAAGAAACTATTTTAATTAACACTTCTGTCCTGAGGTCTATAGTACTCTGACTGTGGAGGGCTTTATGCTGATGCCTCCCTGACCATCTATTTGGGCAGTGATGGGAAATCACTTCAGTGTGTGGTGTCCCTGAACTGGGACTTTTTTTTTTTTTTTTTTTTAGGTTTATTTTGAGAGAGAGTGAGCAGGGGAGAGGCAGAGAGAGAGGGAAAGAGAATCCCAAGGAGGTTCTGCATTGTCAGTATAGAGCCCGACATGGGGCTTGAATTCATGACCATGAGATCCTGACCTGAGCTGAAATCAAGAGTGGGACGCTTAACCAACTGAGCGACCCACGCACCCTAAGGTGGATTCTAAGTAGAGGTCTTGTACTTGATGGGCTGGTGATACTTCACCTCACCAAGTCACCAATCCCTTACTCCAAAAACGTAGGTATTACACTAGGGATTTCTGATCCCTTCTATCTTGAATCATCTGTTACTCATTTTGTAAAAAGAGAAAGGGCGAGGCAGGAGCCTCAGCAAGAGGGAGGAGGAGCAAAGAAGTAATCTCCCAAGTAATAAAGAAGTCACATCTCCCAAGTAATAAAATGATTGCTTTAAAGAGAACTAGGGGGAGGTGGTGCCTGGCTGGCTCATTTGGTAGAGTGTGTGACTCTTGATCTCAGGGTCATGGGTTCAAGTGCCACCTAGGCACTAGGTAGTGTGCTCTTTTAAATCTAGAGGTATGTGAGTCAGGAAATTTGCCTCTGCCCTTGATAAATTATGAAGGTTCACCAAGACCTGGACTCAAATGGTAAAGGTTACAAATCTTTTCTGACTCCTGTTTTAACCAAACTGTGCTCCCATAATTGACTCAAATGTTTATTTAAAAGTCACTGGGTGGGGTAAGTGCTGGCATAGTGAATCATACTCAGTATATATACATTCAACAAACATGGGAAACTTGCTTGAACTGAGTGTTTTTCTTATATGGAAGCACGCACCTCTCAGGGCATGTGGGGCCTGAGCTCTGCCACCTGCAGTCTGTGTGTCCTTGGCAAAGGAGCTAAAACCCTGAGGCCCAGCTCCCTCAGCCCTAAAATGGAAATAATTTTATCTTAGGCAAAGGTAACTGAATGTATCAAAAGAGAGATGATAGGGGCTTCTCGGTGGCTCAGTCGGTTAAGCGTCTGACTTCAGGCCCAGGTCATGATCTCACAGTTTGTGGGTTCGAGCCCTGCATTGGCTTCTGTGCTGACTGCTCAGAGCCTGGAGCCTGCTCCAGATTCTGTGTCTCCTCTCTCTGCCCCTCTGCCCGTTGCACTCTGTCTCTCTCTGTCTCTCTCTCTCTCTCTCTCTCTCTCTCTCTCTCAAACATTAAAAAAATTAAAAAGATGACAGATGTCAAAATTCCATAAATTTTCAATATTCCTGTAAATATGAGGGATAAAACATTGTGTGAGTGGGGTCTTGGTAAAACTTTAGTAAAAGAGCTTGGAAATATCTGCACTAGTCAGTTTAGAACAGATATGATATTTGCAGAACATCCCTTTGTACAAGCATTACTGTTAGTGATCTGATAACGTACATCTCTTATTCCAGTGATATCTAGATCCTCATGACCACTGAATGTCATCTGTTCAGGTCTGCATGTTGTGTTGGTTCTGTGGGGTTTTGTTTGTTTGTTTGTTTTGTTTGTTTTTAAGATTTGATTTTTAAGTAATCTCTACACCCAATGTGGGGCTGAAACTTCCAACCCTAAGATCAGAGTCACATGCTTTACCAATTGAGCAAGCCAGGTGCCCCAATTCTGTGCGTCTGTATAGTGAATCCCCTGGTTCCCATTCCCATTCACTGAATCCATGCCTTTTGTTTTAAAGTCTTCCATTTCTTGCCATGCATACTTCATTCCATTATTTCTGACAATGCCAGGCCACAAAAAGCAACAGGAGCAGCTATGTCTGGAGGTGACTGTGAGGTGGGGGAAACCATAGCTTCCCAAGTCTTGCTCCCTAAGTTCTGAGATTGGCTCTTTTTTCAGTTACCTGAGCAAGTTTTACCTCTGCAGTTATGAGGAAGGGAGAATCCCTATCTTTTATTTTTTTCTCTTGAGAACGTACAGCCCTGTTGTCCTTGGAATCAAATAAATAAAGGCTTCTATTTAGTGAAGTCTATTATTTTGTGAACAGTCAACGAGGTGTACATACAGAGGAACTAATGCTTTGGGGCTTGATTTTGTTTTCCTATCATTGTTGAGGCAACCGGTGGATCGTATGTATCACATATAGGCACAGTGGGCATCAAAAGATCTCAGTTCAAATCCCCTTTTTGTCACTTATGAGCTGTGCAACACTGAATGGGTCTCCTGTTGTCTTCAAATTTCTCTTTCTCCATTTGTAAAATTAAAATTCCTTTTTCCAGTATCTGGGGGAGCAAGAGTTTGATGGTAAATATGGTATTTATGGTAATATGGTAAATGTAAAAAAAAAAAACCCTTTGGATTGCAAGTAACTTGTTCTGTGAGTGTTCTACAAGATGCACAAACATTTTTAATAAATTTTAACTTGATAAATGAGTGATGTCTTGCAATACAAGTAGTAAGTGACACTGAATGTCACATGATCACAACTGAGAAAATGGTTCTCTCTCTCTCTCTCTCTCTCTCTCTCTCACTGTGGGGTTGTGGATGATCACCAATGCAATGTCACATTTCTGTGAAATCCTCAAAAGGAGGCAAAAGCAAGTGTCATTGGATAGGTTTCTTGTTAAAGTTGCATGAAAAGAGGGGCGCCTGGGTGGCGCAGTTGGTTGAGCGTCCGACTTCGGCCAGGTCACGATCTCGCGGTCCGTGAGTTCGAGCCCCGCGTCGGGCTCTGGGCTGATGGCTCAGAGCCTGGAGCCTGTTTCCAGTTCTGTGTCTCCCTCTCTCTCTGCCCCTCCCCCGTTCATGCTCTGTCTCTCTCTGTCCCAAAAATAAATAAATGTTGAAAAAAAAAAATTAAAAAAAAAAAGTTGCATGAAAAGAGAAAGATTCCATTGAGCCAATAGATATCACTGATTCTGTTAGTGATGGTGAAAGTTGTCCTACACAATAACCTCCTCTCTCTTGTCTCCCTCCTACCAGCCACAAAGGTTTTCAAAGGTAAGTACAAGTTAATTTGTTTATTTTCTTTATATTTTGTATTTTCTTTATTATTTTGTATTATATTACAGTACTGTAATCATTTTTGTGTGAATATTTTTGGATTGTGGAACAAATTATCTGAGTTTCCATTATTTCTTATGGGGAAATTTAGTTTGATATACAAGTGCTTTGGATTACTTCCAGAACGAAAAATGCTCCCAAACCAAGGTTTTACTGTATAAATTTACTTAATTACTTGTTACATGTTTGGACATTTAAGAGTTACATTACCTAGTTTATGTTTAAATAGTTGTAATGTTAGTACAGTACACTAAAATATTTCAAAAGGCTTTCATTTTCTAGGACAAAATATACTATAGTGTTTGATAAAGCATTAAAGGATAAACTTTTTTATATGCAAGGATTTCCCCCCCAAATCATAAATTCACAAACTGGTCATTGCTCAAAATCCAGAATATTTTTCAGTTTTTGTGATCAAATAATTTACTTCGCTGGCTCTCAATCAGAACCATCTAGAGTGTTTAAAAGAAAAAAAGAAAAAGAAAAACATTCCCTGGGCTCCAACCCAGACCTTTTAGAACAGAATCTCCAGGGCATGGCATTAGAAGCAAAAGAAGAGTAAAGTACCCCATACTTTTATCTTTATCAGTGGGCCAAAGTCCCTTTAAGAGAGAGATGAAAGTAAATCTAGCTGATTGGTTACCTTATAAACATCACAGGTAGAATTAGCAGTGAGTGTACAGAAGCTTTAGACTTTAAGCTCACAGTTGTCTAAGAAGAGAACACTTCCATGGATCCACTTGTGATTCTGGTGCTCTGTCTCTCCTGTTGGCTTCTCCTTTCTCTCTTGAAACAGAACACTGGGAAGGGGAAGCTCCCGTCTGGCCCTCATCCTCTCCCTTTTATTGGAAATATCCTACAGGTAGATGTGAAGAACATCGGCAAATCCTTATGCAATGTAAGTATGCTTTATGCTCCTCCAGCAGTTTGCAAAGGGTATGTACATTAACCTCTGCTTTTAAATAAAATATCTTTATGAAAATATATTAAATTATAGTATATTAAAATAAAAACATCAAGATATATCTATAAAGCAAATACTCCTTGCGGAGTATTGTCAAGAATAGTGGAATAAGGGGTGCCTGGCTGGGTCAGTCAGTAGAGCATGTGACTCCTGATCTCAGGGTCATGAGTTTGAGCCCCACAATGGGTGTAGAGATCACTTTTAAAAAATAGTGTAGGGGCGCCTGGGTGGCGCAGTCGGTTAAGCGTCCGACTTCAGCCAGGTCACGATCTCACACTCCGTGAGTTCGAGCCCCGCGTCGGGCTCTGGGCTGATGGCTCAGAGCCTGGAGCCTGTTTCTGATTCTGTGTCTCCCTCTCTCTCTGCCCCTCCCTCGTTCATGCTCTGTCTCTCTCTGTCCCAAAAATAAATAAACGTTGAAAAAAAAATTAAAAAAAAATAGTGTAATAAAATAATGTTTTCTATGAATAGAGAAATATTTAGGTCATTCTTTGGTATCATCAAAATAATCAAATGGCAAAAGTGAGGAATGTTGCTGCCCTTCTTTGTTTCAGAGACATTTGGTATGACTTCTGGCTGGAGGTAAACGGTAAGGGAGGTAGTTTGTGATTGGAGATTTCATTCGAGAAGTCATCTACTATATAAACTGTGTGTTTTATTCGGAATAGTCATGAAAATTGAACTCTGAAGAAGCAAATTGTGCCTGATGTCAAGGAAGTAGTTTTGAATAGTAGTTCATTTGCATGAGTGAATGAAAGAAAAAAATCCTTGGGGCCAGCTGGATGGTAACAGAATCCCTTTGGATTCTGTACAGAACTGCTGTCTGTACCCCAAGAATGCTGCAAGAAAGAAGCAATTCTCCTTCTATGAGATGCTGGGCTCTGTGATGCTTGCTCTCTTTTTATGTTAGTAATAGCAGCAGATCTCAAAGTGGAGTGGGCCTTAGCATCATCTGTGGTGATTTTTTAAAAAAAAATACATAATTCTAGTGTACATCGTAAGGCTACAGAGATAGAATCTCCAGGGGATGAGCTTTACAGATGATCCTGAAACCATCAGCTGGGTATTGGTCCCCAGGTAGGCACTGGGGACTGGTAAATTGCTCAGGCATCAGAGGTGTGCCAAGCAGGGTTGAAACTGGGGTGTTCTGTTATTAGACACTGGAAATATATAGGAAATTCTTTGAACTTCAGTCTCTCTATACAACAGGGTAAATAAACCTCGCTCAAGGTGTTTCTGTGATGGCTAGTTGTAATAATCTGAGTAATAATAGTCTGGGCCATTGCCTGTCACATCAGTGGCCCTCTCTATGTGTCGGCTGTAACAATCTTATTTATACATAACATCCAGAAATAGGTGAAGCTACGTTCGGCAGAATAAAAACATCAACAATATGATGATGATATCAGGTTTAATCATGCACACACACACAAATGCACAAAATATAGCCAAATTGTGACTTCTTTGGGTAATAATATATACATTTTCTTTGCGCTTCTCAGCTCTCAAAAACCTATGGCCCGGTTTTCACTCTGTATTTTGGCATGAAGCCTGCTGTTGTGCTGCATGGATATAAGGCAGTGAAGGAAGCCCTGATTGATCTAGGAGAAGAGTTTTCTGCAAGAGGAAGTTTCCCATTAGCTGAAAGAATTAGTAAAGGACATGGTAGGTATGCTGGTATGCAGGTTCAGCACTGGTTATGGGAGTAGGAAGGATGGAAAACAGGAATTTGAAGGGTAACTCAGCAGCACTTGGCCCATCTACAAGGCTTCCTCCTCCTTGCCCAGGACTTCTGTCCCAGTTTCTGTCTTCCCTCTGGTAGGAATCCTTTTCACCAATGGAAAGAGATGGAAGGAGATGCGGCGCTTCTGCCTCATGACCCTGCGGAATTTGGGGATGGGGAAGAGTGACCTTGAGAGCCGAGTTCAAGAGGAAGCCCACTACCTCATGGAAGAGTTGAGAAAAACCAATGGTGGGTTATTCTATAACTCTGACCTTGACAGGCTGTTTGTTCTCTTGTCTACTGATATCCTTGGAAACATTTCAGCCCTTTTGTGGAGGAGAAAGGGTGTGCAGCAGAGAACCAAGGGAGGTTTTGTGTATCTATGCTTGTTATGTATGTCCTTCCATGACCGTGCATAGGCTGTGTATACAAAAGGTCATTTAATCCTATTCTGTCCCAAATTTGTTAATTTCCAAATCATTACGTCATGAAGGTAGAACATTTGGGGAGTCATTTTTTCAAAGAGTTAGAGAACAATGTCTTTCCCATAATGTATATGTGCATTACCTGTTTCAGAACATGTCACCAGGGAATACTTGTCAAGTGGACACAGTGGAAGTGACCTCATCACCCCCTGATGGAGCACATGTAACAAGTGACATGTGCTTTTACTTCATTGGTCTATATGTGTTTGGTCAGCTTCATTGATCTGTCCGAAGGTTTCTTCCCAGGCCCATGTCTACGTTTCTGGCAGTAATGATACCTTTTTTATGGTTGTAATTCCCCAGGCATCTTAGTGCAGCCCTTATCAGTTGTGATTTCCCTATAAACAGCTATTTAAAAATTTTTTTAATTTAAAATTTAAATTAGTTTCAAATGTACAAGTTAGTGATTGAACACTTTCATACATTACCCAGTGCTCATCACAAATGCCCTCCTTAATCCCCATCATCTGTTTAACCCATCCCCCACCCCCCCCCCCCACCTCCATCTGGTAACCATCAGTTTGTTCTGTATAGTTAAGAGTCTGTTTCTTGGTTTGCCTTTCTCTTTCTTTTTTTCCCCCTTGCTCATTTGTTTCTGAAATTCCACATATGAGTGAAATCATATGGTATGTGTCTTTCTCTGACTTATTTTGCTTAGCATAATACACTCCAGCTCTATCCATGTCATTGCAAATGGCAAGATGTCATTCTTTTTGATGGCTAAGTAATATTCCATTGGTTATGTATATACCACTTCTTTATCCATTCATCAGTCATGAGCACTTAAGCTATTTCCATAATTTGGCTATTGCACATAATGCTGCTATAAACATCGGGGTACATGTATCCCTTTGAATTAGTAGTTTTGTATCCTTTGGGTAAATATCTAATAGTGCAATTGCTGGATCATAGAGTAGTTCTATTTTTTGAGGAACCTCCATCCTGTTTTCCAGGGTGACTGTAAACGATTATTTTTAAATTACCAGTTTGAGTTATTTAATGTTGCTCTCTAATCTGTAGTATTATTTAATATATGTTAAGAAATATATGCTATAGCATAATCCTGAAAATTACACAAATACCAAATTATAAAATGATTTAAGTTTCAGCTATTAATAACTCTTTACCCTGCCTCCCTTATTAGTTGACTTTCCTTATATTACTCTCCTTTATAGTCTATTAATCATGTTTCTAATTTTCTCTATTTTGTAATGTTTTGACATCTTAGAGGCCTTGCAGAACCAGGGAACAACCTCCCCTCCCAGGGGTAATGAATTACTAGATATAGCAAACTTCTTGTCTTAGAGCATGTCTTTGATTTGTAAATCAGCCTATCCACAGCCCATACCCCCAGCTGCCTCCTTTACCAAGTTCTCACACACCAAGCCAATACTCTCCCTGCTCTAAATCAACGCAGGGCCAATTACTGAAGAACTGGGGAACACCCCTGTAACCCAGAGCCCTCTGCAACTGTTCAAACTATCTGATCCTAAATGTACTCAGCATACCTACCCTGCCTTGCTCACTCCTTCCCGTGAAAGCCCCAATGAAGGCTCTGGCCCATGCTTTCCCTCTGTTCCTTCTGCCTCCTCATCTATCTTGGTGCTTCCCTCTTGGTAACTCTGAGTAACAAACTGTCTTTTCAATTGCTATCTTCTCCTGATCTACTGGCCTCACGATCTAAATAAAAATTCCAGGTGCATTTTAAAATCATTGGATTTGGGTTAGAACTTGTATGGTAATTATTTTACCCCCCTCTGTCAGCTCCAGTGACTTATGAAGTGCTTGTCACAATGAATCTGATTTTCAGTGTGGATTTCAAATTACCCTGCTTTTTAATTCTCTCTCTAAAATGAAGCGAAAGATTAAAAACCAAATTTTAGCTGTGAATCTCTCTCTCTCTCTCTCTCTCTCTCTCTCTCTCACACACACACACACACACACACACACACATACACACACACACACACACAGAAATCTCAAGGCCTTCTTAAATTTATCCCCTACCTTCTAGAATAAGTTTTTCCAAAAGCTTACTGTCCTTGAGTGTTTCAACTGAAAAGGAGTCTGGAATAGGAGCAGTTAACTAAACATGTTTCCTATTTTTTAATTCTGTCTCATTTCTTCCTCATTTTTGATTCTGGTCACCTTAATTACATTGATGATGTGAATTTGGGGCCTTTTGCATATAAACTTTATTGATCATTTGATTATAGCAATTTCATTTAAATATTTCCCACTAAAAATATAAAACTTTTCCTCTGCTTTCATTTATCTGTAAAATGACAGAATTGACTTAAATGATAGTCCAAGTAAAAAATTTATAGCAACGATACGGGCTTCTGCTAATGGCTATATATAGTAATATTCCAGAATGCCACAAGAGGGCAGGCTGTCCAAATAAATGTGGGGCCTGATGGACACTATTTCCTAGAGAAGAAAAATTTTTTTTTCTATATTGCAATAAAGAAATAAAAGGACTCTATTTATTGCCTTTTCTGTTTTTAAAAAAAATTTTTAAGTAGGTTCCATGCTGAACATGGGGCTTGATCTCATGAGCCAGCCAGGCGTCCCAGGACTCTTTATCAAGTTCATCTTTTTTGTCTGCTTATCTGTGACTTAAGTTTGAAATAAAGATTTCTTATTTTACTTTTATTTTAGGCAAATTGTATTATAATTTGTATTCATTTGTGTTAGTTTTTCTTCTCATATAATATGGATAGCTTTTGCTTTTTTACATTCATTCCATCCAGTATCTGCATTTTTCCATAATCTTCCTTTCTCTAATCTTTTCCTCTGCTGATTTTACACATGGGTCACTTCAACTATTCATTGTACATAAAAGGTTTCCAGGTCCTTAGTCATTTTTTCCCTTCCTTATATGAGTGCTAATTGCAAGCTTACCAAACAGGTGTGATTCTTCATTCATAACCTGAATCATTACGTAGTTTTTAAAAATTTATTTTTATTATTATTATTTTTAAGTAATCTCCACACCCAATGTGGAGCTTAAACACACGACTCCAAGACCAACAATTGCATGCTCCATGTACTGCCACACACCCCTATTAGGTATTTTTAAAAGTGGCTTCTTGGGGCATCTGGTGGGCTCAGTCAGTAAAGTCGGTCTTTCTTGATCTCAGGGTCATGAGTTCAAGCCCTGCGTTGGCTAAAAAGTAAAAGAAGGGAAGAAGGGAAGAGAGGGAGGGAGGGAGGAAGGAAGGGAGGGAGGGAGGGAGGAAGGGAGGGAGGGATTTCTTTAAATTTGTTTCTTTTGTTCTTCAAAGTAATAGTCCCCTTGGGTAAAAATCAGGTAAACAAATTTGCGTGTCATCCTTGTGCAGGCGCCATGCTAATCTTCTCTGTATGGTTCCAATTTTAGTATATGTGCTACTGAAGCGAGCACCAAATGTAGTGATATAAATGGAGTATTTGGAAAACTATTATTAAACAAACGAGGATGGAATGGGCTTCATATTTAAAAAAAATTTTTTTTTACATGTATTTATTTTTGGGAGACAGAGACAGAGTGCAAGCAGGGGAGGGGCAGAGAGAGAAGGAGATACAGAATCTGAAGCAGGCTCCAGGCTCCGAGCAAGCTGTCAGCACAGAGCCGGACTCGGGCGTGAACCCACGAACCAAACTGTGAGATCATGACCTGAGCTGAAGTCCGATGCTCAACTGACTGAGCCACCCAGGCAGGAATGGACTTCACTTTTAAGGGAAAAGTGACAAGTTGATTTTAAGCATACTAAAATTTTCACCGATAAAGGGATTGCTAGGTAGATATTGCTTTAGAGGTTCTAAAATTACCTTTATCTGTTATCAACAACAAAGACTTTTATATGTATATTTTAATGCTATTTAATAAATCTTTCCTATTCTTTTTTTTTAATCTCTCCTATTCTTTAGCCTTACCCTGTGACCCCACTTTTGTCCTGGGCTGTGCTACCTGTAATATGATCTGCTCCATTATTTTCCAAAATCGTTTTGATTATACAGATCAGACTTTACTTGGCTTCCTGGAAAAATTTAATGAAAACACCAAGATTTTGAGCTCCTCATGGGTCCAGGTGAGGTCAAGATCCTCTCTTCCTGAGAAGCTACTTACACTGTTTTGTCCAAGTCCAAAATTCTGTATGAACCATGCTGTGAAGTGAATGAAAACTAGACATTTTGGATGTTATAATGTGGTAACTGTGGAAATCAGATTCTTCTCCCTTCTTGAGATTTGTTTTGTTTTGCTTGCTATAGGTTTGTGCTGTTGTGTTTTTTTGGTGTTGTTTTTTTTACTTTTTTTAATGTTTTATTTTATTTTTTTTTAATTTAATTTTTTTTTTCAACGTTTATTTATTTTTGGGCCAGAGAGAGACAGAGCAGGAACGGGGGAGGGGCAGAGAGAGAGGGAGACACAGAATCAGAAACAGGCTCCAGGCTCTGAGTCATCAGCCCAGAGCCTGACGCGGGGCTCGAACTCACGGACCGTGAGATCGTGACCTGGCTGAAGTCGGACACTTAACCGACTGCGCCACCCAGGCGCCCCTGTTTTATTTTATTTTTGAGAGAGAGAGAGAGAGAGAGACAGAGACAGAGACAGAGTACAAATGGGGGAGGGGCAGAGAGAGAGGGAGACACAGAAGCTAAAGCAGGCTCCAGACTCCAAGCTGTTAGCACTGAGCCAATGTGGGGCTTGAACTCACGAACCATGAGATCATGAGGCTCGAACTCGTGAACCATGAAATCATGACCTGAACCAAAGTCAGACGCTTAATGGACTGAGCCACCCAGGCACCCCCGTGTGTGCTGGGTTTTTTGCTTTCTATAGGCTCTAGATGTTTATTTAGTGACTTTTCTGAACTGTTTTTGCTAAGTCTCTTCTTTGTCATGTGCGGTCTCTGAAATCTCTGTTCCTGTAGCTTGTATTAAGCTAATGTTTTGATGGAAGTTTCCTTGAATGTGAGGAGCCGAAATGAAGGGAGAAAGAGGGGGTGGGGAGAGAAAGGGAGGGGGAGAAGGGGGAGAAAGAGAGAGAACTGGAAGGAAGAAGGGAGGGACAGAAGAAGGGAGGGAAAGAGAGGGAGGGAGGGAAGGGGGAAGGCAGGAAGGAAGGGAGGGAGGGAGAGGGAGGGAGGGAGGAAGGAACTAATGAATTCTTCCAGATTGGCTCTCTGCTGGGACACTCCTTCAGTGCTTTCATCAGACTGTTTTCAATTCTTTCTCAGCTTGTGCTGAGCCAAGATCACCCAGAGGTGAAAGCTTAGGGTCTTCTGAGGTCTTTTCTTAGCCTATGTCCTGCTTTCTAAACTTTTTTTTTTTTTTAATTTTTGTTTAATGTTTATTTATTCTTGAGAGAGAGAGAGAGAGAGAGTGGGGGAGGAGCAGAGGGAGAGGGAGACACAGAATCCGAAGCAGGCTCCAGGCTCTGAGCTGTCAGCACAGAGCCCAACGCGGGGCTCGAAGCCACGAACCGTGAGATCATGACCTGAGCCAAAGTCGGATGCTTAACCGACTGAGCCACCCAGGCGCCCCCTAAACTTTAAATTTCTAAATTCCTCAGTATACATGGGTGCTTTTGAATGCCCTAATTTCCAGAAGTTACTCTCTCCTCAGCTTTTCTTCCTAGGATTTTGATGTTGTATCCTATGCCTTAACTAATCTTTGCCCGAGGAGGCTGTGGGTTATTCATTTGCCTTACAGAGTTTTGGAGACATACCTACTACTTTTCCACTCTGAGTTCTAAGTTAGATGAGACAAAGACCAGAGCCCTTCAGATTGCCCCAGAGAAGTGGCAACAGAGAAAACAATTTTTTGTGAGGATGGTCAGCTCTACTCTTTCTTGAACTAGAAACCAGAGTCCCATGTAAGAAGCTGCCCTTGTTAAGACCCCTGCCAAACTGAGGAAAGAGGTGGGACAAGGACAAATTAAAAACTTCACAAAGCTTTCCCGCCATTTTCAAGTTACCTTTTTCTTAATTCAGCATTCTCTTGATATTTTTGTTTTCTAGAATTCAGACAAGTTGATTCTCATGGTTTTTGCTAAAATTCTCAGCCTTTTTTGAGAGGGACCTACCTTTGGAGCTGTCTACTGTGACATTTTCACCAGTTATACTCAGTGAAGTGAATTTTTGAATACCGAACTCCTGCCCAGGGCAAGCGTCCTGGAGTGTGCATCTGAGAAAGATAGTTGAAGCCTTTATTTCACAGACAAGAAGACAAATGTCCAAATATGGAGCTGGTGGAATTCAAGCCCATTTGTTCCCTGGTCTGTGATTTTTCCACTAAACCTCAAACCTCAGTTTCCATAAGCTACTTTGGTGACTGCCTGGAAACATGACCACATCACTCCATGGGCATGCAGGCCCCTGCTGGAAGGTTCCCATTGCCCACAAGGTTTGTCCTCCACTCACTTAGTGACCTCTTCATCACATTACTTAACAGAAGTATGCTAATTTAGGAAGGAAAAGAATGTCTCCTTTAAGAAGAGAAAACGTTTGGGATCACAGATGCTACCAGGGAACACTGACTAGGGAGTAGCTTTGTGCTAAATATCAAGTTGCCCAAACTCCCTTAACCTTGGTCTTCATCTATAAAATGTGAATCATAGTAATTCATGTCATTCTATATTTCAAGGTTGTAGGGAGGAATTAATATTTAAAAAATGAGAGAATTGGGCACCTGGGTGGCTCAGTCACTTCAGTCAGTTGAGCATCCAACTCTTGATTTTGGCTCAGGTCATGATCCCAGGGACATGGGATCGAGCCCCACATTGGGCTCTGTGCTGACAGCACACAGGGCCTGCTTGGACTTCTCTCCCTCCTCTCTCTCTCTCTCTGCCCCTCCCCCCACTTGCACATGTACCTTCTCTCAAAATAAATAAACTTAAAAAAAAAGTTTCTCTCTCTCTCTCTCCCTTTGCCCCTCTACCCTGCTTGTATTCTCTCTCATTCTTTCTAAAAATTAAAAAATAGGCATGCCTGGGTGGCTCAGTCAGTGGAGCATCCAAACTCTTAATTTCAGTGCAGATGTGATCTCATGGTTCATGAGATTGAGCCCCACATCGGGCTCTGTGCTGATGGCACAGAGCCTCCTTGGTATTCTCTCTCTCCCTCTCTCTGCCCCTCCCCACTCTTTCACTCTCCCAAAATAAATAAATAAACTTGAAAAAATAAACTCATTTAATGTCGTAGACTCTGGGTCTAGAGTTCTTTTTTGCCCAGCAAGAAAGCAGGACACAGGATTAAAGTGCGAGAGATGACTAATGTCCTGGAGAAGACAAGAGCCCCGATTAAGGGTCCTTGCTCCATTTTTATTAGGATCAGAAGGCTTACAAACATGGTAATGGACGTGCACAAAGGGACAATGAAACTGTGAACATTAACTCATGGACATGAGGGAAAGAGGGGTTTGAAGATATGTGGAGTTAGGGGTTTGGGTCAATACAAAACAAAACCCTGGTGCCAGGCAGCCAGGCAGAAGGTTGTTTACAGCAGACGTGAGGCACCACTTATCTAGCAAGAAAGAACACTAGACCCAGAGTCTACGACAATTTAAAAAATTAAAAAATTTAAGTTAAAAAAAGAGAGAATTGACATAAAGATGCCTTAATACTATGAGGTTGATATATGTGTATAGGAAATTATTATTATCTTCCATCATCTGGTCAGAGTTTGTTCCCTTAAGTATCCCTATGAGCATTAGACAGTTACTTTTATATGCACATTAAATGCTTCCCCAGAAGATAGAGACCATTTTTTTCTTTATCTCATTTCTTTAATGTTTTTAATTTAATAATTAATTTTTTTTTTATCCTTAAGATCTACAATAGTTTCCCTGCTCTCATTGATTACCTCCCAGGAAGTCATCGCAAAATATTTAAAAATTTTACTTGTACACACAATTATATTTTAGAGAAAATCAAAGAACACCAAGAATCCTTGGACATTAACAATCCTCGGGATTTCATTGATTACTTCTTGATCAAAATAAAACAGGTAAAATGTTGGTGACAGATCATTTATTTGTTTGCCTGCATTTTTGGGGTTCACTGATTAGTTCTGTACTTATCAGGGATGTTTCAATAGGCAAGAAATGCTGGGCCAAACACTTTAGGTTCTTATGTATGCATGGATCTGGATTGAGCATCATAGAAGATCTAAGATTGAATTGCTAAATACCTGGAATACATGGAACCTGTTTGTCAAGTTTCTACCTGAGAAGAAAGAGAATGTACACTTTAGGGGAAATGAAAATTCAAACAGATTAGAAATGACAAAATATTGAGGCGTAAAATTAAGGTGGATGTGATCATGTCACACACAGCATGTGGGAGAGGTAGAAGGAAAGATTTAACCTTGCTAGGCTCCTGCTTGTTTTGAGGGTTGATGTAGATCCTCAAATATTTGCAATAAGGAATAGGGGAGGGAATTTCAGATTGGTAGAGTGGTATGATGAGAGGTTCAGGGGTGTGTATTGTCAAAGAGATTGGATGGATAGAAGAGAGAAGTCTTCGCTGAGTGTAGCCAAACATGAATTTGGACAGATACAGAGTTGAACATTGGTGTCTGTCAAGTAACTGTAAACCTGAGTGTTGGCATGACAAGTTTTGATTTTATCAGGTAGGTGTATGAGCCACAAGAGTGGAATGCAAGTAATTATTGGAGGAAATTATCCTGGGAGCCCTGGAGAATGATCTGTATGATAAGAATGGACTCCAGGACCAACCGTGAGATTTTTCATTTCTTCGGACTTTGGCTTGATAAGAGTCTGGACCATGGAAATACAGAGGATCCTGAAATCAAATCAAATTGTTCATCTTGTCACATCTCAGGGATCTATAGAGACTGGTTTTAGTTGGAGGAGAGGATAAGTAGGAACTGTAGGGGAAATTTTAGTAATAAGAACAGATACAGCATTTGAGAAGTTTAACCAAGGAGTGAAAGATTTAGATAATAAATCTGAATGAGTGATAGGATCAAGTTGGAAATCATGTGACAACAGTAATGTAGATGACATGATGACACTTGTGGAGGTACAAAGTCCTCTTTGAACTGGGGAGAGACCAAATCCAAAATGTATCCTAAGGAGCTAATTCTAGAGAAGGAAATTCCTTCATCTGAGGCCATCGTTATTTTATCTAATCACTTTGTAACTCTGGGCAGAAATGAGAAACCAGTTAGTAAGCTAAAATGGCAAGGAGTCAAAGATGCCCATGAGGGTGACTGTCAAAGAATTGTCCATGCATGTCAATTGGACTGCTCAAATCATGTATTCTGGGTGGAATGAAGTGAAGAATACAGAATGGTTTGAAGAAACTGGAAGAGGGACGAAGCAAATTACTTCCACCCTCTTCTTTCTCTACTAATAGGGCAATTATTTTTATCTCTCTGGTGATAATCTGATTAAAAAGTATGGACATTTGGGGTGCCTGGGTAGCTCAGTCGGTTAAGCATCCGACGTCAGCTCAGGTCATGATATCACGGCTCGTGATTTCAAGCCCTGAATCAGGCTCTGTGCTGACAGCTCAGAGCCTGGAGCCTGCTTCAGATTCTGTGACTTCCTCTATCTCTCTGCCCCTCCCCTGCTCATGCTCTGTCTCTCTCTGTCTCTCAAAAAATAAATAAATGTTAAAAAAAAATTTTTTTTTTTTAAGTATGGACATCTTCCCAGAAGAATGCACCTACATTAATTTTTTTTTTCCACATATTTTGAGGAATTTTCTTAATGCTGGGAAGCCTCTCCACTGATCCTGGGCTAATTAAGGCTCTGACATCTCTCTTTCAATTAACAGTATTTCTTTATACTATATTTTAAAATTGCATTGTTCCTCTGGTCTTCATCATAGTATTTAAATTCTATCTTATTCCTTTTTGTTGTTGTTAACATCTTCATAGAGTATAATTTACATACCAAACCCTTCACACATTTCAAGTACAATTCAGGAGTTGTGTATTTTCAGAGTTCTGCAACACCACAGCAATCAATTACCAAATATTTTCATCACCCTGAAAAGAAGCCCCATACGTGCCATCAGAAATCTCCATTGCCCCTGAATCCTCCCTTCAGGCATCACTCCTCTACTTTCTGTCTTTATAGATTTGCTATTCTGGATGTTTCATATTAATGGACTTCTACAGTATGTGGTCTTTTGTTCTAGCTTCTTTCACTTAACATAATGTTTTCAAGGTTCATTGATGTAACTTATATCAGTACTTCATTCCTTTGGTTGAATATTGTTCTGGAGTGGCTATGCCATATTTTATATATCCACTCATTGGTTGATGGACATTTTGGTTGTTTCTGGTTTTCTGGTTATTATGAATAAACTTCTGTGGACATTTGTGTACAGGTTTTGGTATATACAAATGCTTTAATTTCTCTTGGGTATATACCTGGTGATAGAATTGCCGGGCCATATGATAACTTTGTATTTAACCCTGGGAGGAAGTGTGGTGGGTCAAAGACCTGAATGTAAGAGCTAAAAATGTAAAACTCGTAATTACAAGAAAACTTAGGCATAAAATTGGCTAAAATTGATAATCCATTTGTATGTAAGCACTGATTCTTTAAATTTGCTTCAACAGTAGGAAATGCTAAAAATGGTTTATTAGTGCCCTATTCTTTTTCCTCGCTTTAGAGTGATTTTGGGTTGGCAATGTTAGAAAACTGTGTGAAGTTGATGTTACTGGTGGGTCTAGTAAGTACAGCTATTGAGTGGGTTAAGCCTATCTTAATGGAGTTGATTACATGTTAGGCATGCTACTGGTCACTTGGGGATTATAAAAACCTTATTAAATTAATGCTGGTCTATAGGAAGGGATAGGAAGAAATTATTATTATTATTATTTGTATTTTAGTGACCTCAATAGTAAGTATTTCAAATGGCCCTATGATTATTATCGACTTTGTGTCATCCTTACCTTAAACCAACTTCGGCTGTCCTTGTGAGGTGCTTTTGCTCTCCCAATGTACAGTTTATGAGACCTCTATTCAGTCAGTCTCTTATCCTCAACATCTGCATTTCCCCTACACTCTCCTTCATCCCTTATGAGCAGTTAATGCTTAAATTTTCTGTCTTCATGTCTGTAGTATTTCTTCTATCTCTATATCCCCATTAATTCCTGTACTTGTTTCCTACTCCAAGTTGCCTCCTGCCTCACATCTAGAATAATCTGTTCTAGGATGTGCTGTAATGTTAGCTTTTGCACATTTTCAACCTCATAATGAGATTTTAGGCAATATAGAATCCACATAAATTCTATAACAGAAGAAGAGAATTGCAAATTCTCGATCTTGGTTTATACCATTTTTTGAGATATTGCTCTAATTTACTCATTTCTCTCTATTCAGATTGTGTTTGCCTACCAACAAGAGAAAACCCAATTAACAATATTTTAAGGAAGTGTAGTGGGTTTATTTATCTCATGTACAGCGAATTTCATGTAGAGCAGTCCAGGACATGTACAGTAGCTCTGAAGTATCATGGACTCAGGTGCCTTCTATTTTTCTTTAGCACACTTAGTGTGTAGGCTTTATGTTCATGCTCAAATACTCGTGTTTCAAGATGATGTCTACACCACCACCACCACCTACATATCTGTGTTTTGAGTAAGAAGAAGGAAAGAGAAAGTGGCATCCATAGGCCATTGGTAAGAAATAGATTGCTTGGCCAATGTAGCTGCAAAGGAGGCTGGGAAGTGGAATTTGTAGGCAAGCAAGGGATAAGGAATAGGAAATGAAGATTGGGTCAGCTAATGCATACAGTTTTCCATACCATACAGTTATTATTTTAACACTGCCCTCTCCAGTTTCTAAGTTTGCTTCCCTTGATAACAATGTGCTATTTGGGATTTATTGTAATGACATGTGCTGGCAAACCATCAAATAATGGCATTGAATAATTCCTAGGAAAACCACAGTCAGCAGTTGGAGTTCACTATTGAAAACTTGATAGCCACTGCAAGTGATTTGTTTGCAGCTGGGACAGAGACCACAAGCACCACCCTAAGATATGCTCTCCTGCTCCTGCTGAAGCACCCGGAAGTCACAGGTACCGCCAGCCTGGTAGGAAGGGTGAATTTCAGAAATGATGTTGAGAAGACACTCGTATGGGTTTCTATCTTGTTTCTCTTAGAGAAGCTTCCTTACTGAAATTCCTGTGCCACCAGCTCTGATTTGTCCAAATATTAAAAAGGGAGATAAGTGAGGCAAATTCACACACTAGCAGAGGATGACTGAGAAGTGAAGACACTGTGAGCAATAATAGCAAAAGCAGAAAGCTATGGATTTTATCAACAAAAAGAACTTTGGATAAATGTCTAGATTTTATGGGAAAGGATTTATAGCAGGCACGGCCAGCATAAGTTGAATATCAGTTTTCTTAAAAGAGGCCACTTTGAATGGTAGGTGTGTTCTTGGAGAAATCTTTCCTGGGTTTGCTGGGTCAGTTGAGCATCTGACTCTTGGTTTCAGCTAAGGTCATGGTTCCAGGGTCATAGGATTGGGCTTTGCATCGGGCTCCATGCTGAGTGTGGAGCCTGCTTAAGGTTCTCTCTCTTTCTCTCCCTCTCTCTGTTTCTCTCTTCTGCTTGTGCTCTAAGAAATAAAAGAAAGAAAGAAAGAAAGAAAGAAAGAAAGAAAGAAAGAAAGAAAGAAA